GGGGGGGGGGGGGGGGTACACGACCCCTTAGTTTTAATTCTAGTTGTATATGGCAAACCAGACTTAAAACCACATAATAAAATATGTTATTGATGTAAAACTAGAATATTGGCGTACCAAATCAAAAAGCATTTACTTAAGCAATATTGATTAAATTACAAAATTATAAAATAATCATTAGATATACTGCTTGTACAGTTTCAATTAGATTCACAGATTTGGTTTCCTGGGATCTTCTAGCAAGACAGTGGAATCCTTTTTCCTTGACTTCTCTAATTAGAGACACAACTTTTNCCATTTTTCCTTGACTTCTCTAATTAGAGGCACAACTTTTGTTCTCTTCTGGAATCCATTTTTCCTTGACTTCTCTAATTAGAGGCACAACTTTTGTTCTCTTCTGGAATCCATTTTTCCTTGACTTCTCTAATTAGAGGCACAACTTTTGTTCTCTTCTGGAATCCATTTTTCCTTGACTTCTCTATTTAGAGGCACAACTTTTGTTCTCTTCTCTATTTAGAATCTCAGTTCCAAGACTCTTCTTTAACCAGAGTAATCTGGTTTTTCCCAGAGCTCTGATCCAACCCAGCAGTTTCTAGTGGAATCCATTTTCCCTGCCTGCTTCTTAGATTGTCCATCCTACCACTGTGGGAGCTGGCGAATTTCTTCATCCTTTACTTCTTTAGGACTGATGCACAACTGGCTTTTTTCTCCTCCCCTCTCTATGTTCTAAACCCAGGTCCCGCCATTTCTTAGTCTCAGGGCTAGCTGGCTGGTCCGCCTGTAGGGAGTAACACTAGATAAGGCGGCTAGAGCAGGGGGAAGGGGGGCCAGGTTTGGGTTGATTTGTCCTGAGGAATCATGCTCTATACACAAACTGTTCATTCTGGTTACATCCCAAGCAGGGGGGGGGGGGGGGGGATGGTTACAGTATTGCTCTAATGTTGTCTTTCTTATCCATTGTTTTTTGCTTATCACTGTAGCAGTTGTAGAATGTGAATGGACCCATTTTCCTTAATAAGATTGTGTATTTGTTAGCACTACAAAACAAAATTATTTATATTTTAGATGGAAACCCAGAAAAGGATGTGAGACAACCTGAGGCTCAAGTTCCGGTAAACTAAATGCTAACTACTAAACTTAAATCAACTTTTTAAGTACAGATACACCGTAATGTTTCATAATTTATATTTGAGAACATAAAATGAGTCTAAAAGACGTTTTTCTATTTCAATTTTAATTCAATTTTATGGGTCCAACTTTACATAAAATAAATTTGGAAGAAGTTGTAAAAAGGGCCATATGTAGCTTCTTAAAACCTAATGAATATATATTGGTTAATTCTTATTTTACTAATTTAAATTCTGAACAAAATTGTACTACAAATTTTTAATTATTTTTGAAAACGATCATTTTTTGTTTTGATTTTAATGTTTTTCAAAAATGTTTGTTTCACTTTTGGAAAAAACAATTGTTATTAAAATCGACCCACTAATTTTTGAAGACAATAGTTTTTATAAAAACGACTAACATTCGTTTTTTAAAACAATCGTTCCGTTATAAATTTTTCGTAGTCATTTTCATAACGAAACGATTGTTTAAAAAAATTTAAATGGTTAACATTCTTAACTACAATACGCTTTTAAGATACAAAATGTTCATCAAATACATATGGCTGTCATGACATTTATGACATTTTTGGGTAAAAAAAAAATAAGAAAATTTTAAGCCAAATTTATTTTATAGTCTGGAACTGTTGAGCTTGGTGAAGATTATAGTTGGAGAGACTTTGTAACCTCACCACCAATTCGTCACATGGGTTAAAATAATTTTGTAAAATAAACTATATTAAAAAAGTAAACTTATTGCATATTTTTTAAAGCTACTTGTTTTCTGTGATGCTAATCAGCTATCTGGAGGTCAGAACTTTCTAATTTTAACCCTAAACAGGAGGGGGCGTTTGACCCCCCCCCCCTGTAGTTTTTTAGTCCTAGCACTCTTATAAATACACTATCACTGAGAAATTTTGTGACTTTTAATGAATAGTAATTTAAAAGATGTTTTTTTAAATTTGATTTCTTTTAATTTATCTTTTTATTTATATGGTAGGGTACCGGTTTAAAAAAAATCCGGTCTATGAAAAAAAAATTTTAATAGCCCATAACTTTTTCGTGACTAAAGCTACTGATATAAAACTATGGTTTTAAAAAGCCCTTGACAATGCATCTAGAAACAAGTGTCACACAATTCGACGTTCAAAACTTTTGGGGTGGATACGATTTCAGAATTAGTTTTTTTTAATTATTAAATGCATACTCAGTTCAACTACCTTACATAGCAAGTCACTCCCTTTAAGGTTTATCTAAATATGGTCACTTAAAATTAAGCTTACACCAGTCCCTTCAAGAATTAAACCTGTCGAAATTGTGATGTTCACAGTGTCTGATGTGTTGACGTTAACAAGTGTCTAATTGGACAAAAGTCTCAAAGTTTGCTAACTTGGAATTTGGTTGGACAGTAAGGGGAAGAGAGGGGGGGGGGTTGTATTGGGAGAGTGAAGGATTGAGATGAGATGAGAAGGGGGGAGTTTAAAGATGAGGTTGGCATGGCTTATTTTAAGATTAAAACTTGTAATAAAGAATTATACATTACATTGACTGGGTCTACCAGTATCCAGTATATATAATGCCTGATTATGTGCTCAAACTTACAGAAATTAAATGATTTTTATACTTCTAAAGGCAGTGTTCGCAAAAAAATGAAAGGAGGAATAGGCTTAATGCAATAAAAAAGCGCTTTTGATCGCAACTAATCTTACTTTTATCTGTTGCGTCTATAAGGAGAAAATTGTTAATAACGACTCACACTGAAGAACGCAGCGTCCATACAAAATCGTAAAGATGCAACATTCAACTCGGATCTTAAACAAAACAATTTAATTCCAAACAAATCATTCAGATACTGCTACAAACAGTAGTCATTGATTATTTTTCGACGCATTAATATTATAGTTAATATTTCAAGATATTTTTAATTTTTTTTTTAAATCAGTTTCACTGGCGCTGGATTTTCGAACATTTCTGGAAAATATGAAAATGTCGTCTTCATTATCAAAAATCCTTGAAACAGGAATTAATGTTTTCAAAAGTGACTCTCAGATCATGAAAAATAAAAAATATTTTTTTTTATTTATAAGAAGCAATATAGAGAAACTCACAGAAGTAACAACTCTTCGTGTCATAAAAAGGACGGTGTTTTCCATATTTTTGATTATTATGTTATTATGGCAACTCGGGCATTGCCATCTTTGCATAAAGGGTCACTTAAAATTACGATAACAGTCTCTTTAAGTTTTGTATAATTTAGAATTTAATAGGGGTCTAATCAACCTTAATTAATCCTCTGTTTAATTACAATATTTTATAACTTTTAATCATGCTTGATTTTGATTTATTTTGTTTCATTCAATAAATGGCGGTTATAGCGGTTTGTTCAATCAGTTTAAATTTAAAATTCAAGCTAAAGCATGTAAGACATTTTCATTATTTTTGTTAAAGTCTAACTTTTTCAATGATCTATGTTCAATTTTTACAAGAAATACATATTTTTGTCATGTAAACTTTAGGGGTGGTTTTATACTATTTTTGGAATGAAAATATATAATTTAATTTGTTGACACTCTTGAATACTTCTCTTGAATACATATGGAATAACAAAAGTTTTAAAAAAATTCCGAATTTTAAAACAGCATTTTATATCCATTGTAAGTAACCTTATTACACTATTAAATTCTTTTGATTTTGTTTGACTTGGTGATCATTTTTAGTTCAGAAAACTTGACTTTCCTAATTTTTATCTAAAGGAATTTAGGCTTTATCACAAACTAAGATTTTCCAATCTCTATATCTTTGCATCATAATGCCTTAGATATTTGAAACAATGAATTCTGTTAGATGAAAGAATCTAAGTTTGAAATATGAAAGGTTTATAACCATCAGGTGGAAAAAATATGGATATTAGAAAATCAGGTTACAAAGACTTTTATAATTAAGTAAAACTGAGGATGAAACTATATCTGGTTTTGGTATTATTGTTGGCTCTGTTCTTTAGCTCAAGCAAAGCTAAACAATATCTTGTGGAAACTGAAGGTAAATATATGTATATATAAAGTTGTGATTTCTGTTTGTCTGTCTGTCTGTTCATTTGTCCGATCTTAACTCAGGAACCCCTTGACTGATTTTCCTCAAATTCTGATTGGGGAATTTAGTTAACCTTTCTCTAGCTTGGTTTTGAGAATGGGTTGACTTTTAGCCAAAGTTTAGTTTCCCAATAAAATCGACTATATGCGGGTAAACGGTGGGATTAACTATAAGTAACCTGGGCAGCCCCAGGTTCCCAAGCTAGAATATCTATGAATGTATAAAGTAGTAATCTCTGTTTTATTGTATGTCCCATTATAACTCTTGAATACCTTGACTAATTTGAATGTCTGATCATAACTCATAAACCCCTGGACCGATTTGCCTGAAATTTTGATTTGGGAACTTTGGGAGAACAATGGGAATGCTCAGCCTGGTTTACAAATACAAAAATCTCCAGGCTAAGGCGGGTTTCTAAAAGAATCTATGCATATAGTTCGGAATTTTTTTTAATTTGGAGATGCTCCAAGATTCACGAAGTAAATAATCTCACAATTAAAATATTTAAACATTTTCTAAATTAAAAATTTCGGTCTGGGTTGACCCTCTTCAGTTCTAACTATCAAAATTGATATTAAAAAATGTAAAAAAAATCACAAGAAAATAAGCAAAACAAAAACTTTAAAAAAAAAGGGTTGTCAAATGAAAAAAGGGATATGAACTTAGTTGTTCACTTTTCTAAGAAATCTATGCATATCTATACATAACATAAGTTTAGATCCCCTCCACCCTATCACCCTGTAATTCTTGAAAAGTAAAAAAAAAATAAAGGTATGAGATGGGTAAGAGATGAAAGTTGATAAAGTAGAGTGGTAATCTGAAGATGGTTCACAGACTTTTAATCTAAGTTCGGTTTAAGAATGAATATTGAATATTATTTTAGAAGTACAAAATTTCTTTTATTCTTTCATGTAGAAAATATCATGATTATGTGACACATTGTGTGTTTTTTGAATACAACAAATATGAATTATTAAAATGTTTAGATGAAAACCCAGTCAAAGATGTAAAACAACCTAAGACGCAAGTTCCGGTAAATTAAATGCTTGCTATAGTAAGACCCATAAAACTGTGAAACAGAAAGATGACATTTAAGCAATCTTATGTGTGTTAAATATTAATAAAATGCAAATTGTTTAACAAGTTCATTTTAAATAACTTTTAAATAACTATATAGTGCATGGGTCTGAGTACAATAAACAATTGTTGTTTTTCATGATCTTTATTTGAAATCATAAATTGTGTCTAATAGTCATCTTTATATTTCACAATTTTATGAGTCCTGAGCTGAGAACTTTTGAATGGTGGATATTGGAATTAATGCTTGATCCACTTTTTTTCTTAATCTCGAGATAAAATAATGCTTGTTCTCCTCTTGTTATTAATCTCCAAATTAATTAACTGATCGGGATTAAGGATATTCCATTCTAAAGTTTTCAGCTCTAAAAGAAGTTGAAAAAAAAACTAGAAAAATATCAAATAAAATTTATTTTGTAGTCAGGAACTGCTAAGTCTGGTGACGACTATATAAATTGGTGATTCACATGGTTTCTGGAAAGTAATTTTGTAAAATAAATTATATTAAAAAAGTTCAAAATTATTCAATAAATTTAGTTGTTTTCTTTCAAAACTTTTAAATATCAATATCCTCTGACATTCAAAGGATTAAATTACTGATTGATGTAAAGCAATTAATTGTCAAATTTAAAAGTTGTTACAGTGGACGTCAAAGTTAATTTTTACAGATTAGCACTCCCTTACACTGACACATCAATGTTAGCCTCAGGTTTTAAAGTCTTTGCCACAAATTTTGATCTTCTAATCTCTAAATCTTTGGCAATGGCATAGGCTTTAGATATGTCAAACTATAAATTCTTTTTGATCAAAAAATCTCGACGTCAAAGGTTTAAGCCAAGATGTTGCCAAGATGGTTTAGAATATTTGAGTTTGTGGCAAAGTCTAATTCCTTTCAAGGAATTTTCACTTAATAATTGCTTGGCTTTATGTTTTATGACATGAGATTAAGGTTTGATATGTTTTTTTAATTCCAATACATGCCTGATTAACAACAGGAATCTTACATTTTAATATAAATAATAATAAAACAAGAGATTGTCTTTTATACGATTTAAGAGATATGTTTTCTTCAAAGGGACATACTTTAACAATCTAATTCAGAAAACTTTTGCTCAACATTAAACTATCAGTTAAAATATTTTCTTATTATACAAATTGAGAATTTTTTATTTTCATATTTTTTACAAATTACAACTTTTTAGCGACTAGTAATTGATTCATGTTTATAATGCAGATAATCGTTGTTTCCAATGTTATTTTTTTCTGTCTACCCTTGTTCACTTTATTTAACTGTGTTTTATTGTCTGCATAACCCCCCCNGATTATTTATATTTCTTTGACTTTGACACTTTAGTAGTATATATATATATATATATATATATATATAAATTGCTATTATGTCATCTTATATTCCACAGTTATCTGGTTCTCACTAGATTGTATAGATCTAAGTAATTATCCTGAATTAAACTTTAAACAAAAATTATCGCACTATGATAGAACCTATTGATTGACACACCTCTGAGATACAGTGGCTTGTAGAAATTACTGTTCAATAATGATGAACATTTCAGTTTTTATATCAATATAATTATTACAGTAGCGCGGCGGTAAACATTTTGGAAAAGAGAAAAACAAGGTAAAGAGCAGAAAACCAGGATTAGGAGAATTGTGTAGTTATTTTTTCAACAATGATACATGTAAAAGTAGGTTGAAGACTGAATATAACAAATAAATTCAAAGTTCTCAGACAACTTTCATGTTGTCTTGCTACTGTCATGACATAAAAAAAATTTTAATACTAAAAACAATTTAATTGTATAACTTGTAGTTTAACTCTCCAATTATATATATTTAATATATATGGGAAGATTAAGAGGTTTGTATAACTTTTAATTATGCTGTATTTTTATATATTTTGTTTTGTTTCATGAATCATGATTAGCAGTTTATTTTTGTTTGATTTCTTTCAAAGGTTTGATTTAAAATCTTCAGTCCTAGATTAAAAGTTCAGACAGTAAGTGTGTAAGAAATTTGTCCTCATTTTCCTATTTTATTTTCTTATATTGTGTTCTTTAACCCTATCACAATTCAGAGGGTTCCACCTCCCCACTTGTGTTTTTTTCTCCACAACTTAAATACCTTTATCACATGTTAATGTTTTTAAAACAAGAAAAATATGTTGAACATTCTTCTAAGGGATTTTTTGAATTTTTAAAACTTCCCTATAACCCTTACCTTTAAATGCAAGGGGTCTAATTAACCTGATTGATTTATTAACCCAATCTCAATTATCAAACTTTAAAAGAGTGTTAAACCTTTTGTGTTATATGCAAATTTCAGATCAAGCATTGACCTCCATCTTATGCAGGTCTAGGGATCAATTTTATTCCTCTTAAATATCCCGGGGTTGATCATGCTTAGCAGAAAAAATGTTATGTTTATTTAATAGTTCATTTTCATTTTTTTTCAACTTTTTTTTCAAGTTTACAATTAAATAAAATTCAAGGATGAAGCTGTATCTAATTCTGGTAACATTTTTGGCTCTGTTCTTTAGTTCTGGTGTGGCTAAACATTTCCTTGTAGAAACTATAGGTATTTCTACTATACTAGCTAAACTGCCCAGAATTGCCATGTAGAATTTTAAAAAAAGAATTTTAATAACTTTGTTTTGTTTTTGCTTACATTACCCCCAAAGTGTCCATTTGTGGCATTCGTTTTCCTAAAAAATTCAGTTTGTTCCAGCCATTTGGCCAGCTATAGCTAACATATATATATATATATCTATACTAGGCTTTCAGGGCGCTTTGCACCCATCCTGTATTTCAACTTTTAATTGTGGCTTTATCTGTGAGCATCTTCTCTTTGTACAGTATAAAACAAAAACAAATAAATAATATTGCAGGTTCCATAATATGATTTCATAATATCGGGTGGGACCAAACATGAGCTGGGGAAGGTTTATGAATGATCAAAATTTTAACAATTTTGTGCTTAAAAATTTTTTATTTTCGTAAATTTTGAAAATGCGCAAAAAAATATTATAAAATCAGCAAATTTTTTTCATTTAATTTATATTGTACAAATAGAAGATGCTCCAAGGTAAAGCCACAATTAAAAATTGAAATTGAAGATGGGCCTGAAGGCCCCTAAAAGCCTGGAATATACTTAGCTTTTGCTTTTTTGTTTTTTATTTTTTCATTTTCTTATTTCAAAGTAATAAAATGAAGTGGTTGACAAATATACAATTTATGTCTGTTTTAAGAATGAATATTGAAAATTTTTTTAAAAATGCAACATGGCTTTAATACTTTCAGAAGAAACTGTCTTGATTTTAGCACAATAAAAATGAATTAATTATATTTTTAGATGAAACCCCAGAAGAAGATGTAAAACAACCTAAGAATCAAGTTTCGGTAAAAATTAAATGCTTGTTACAGTAAGACCAATAAAACTGTGGAACAGGAAGACGACATACAAGAAATCTTATGTGTATTAAATATTGATAAAATGTTGTTTCAAAAGTAAATTTAAGTTAACCTTTTAGTATCCAGTAGGGTGTACGTACAATGAAAATATGTTGTTCATTAAGACCTAAATTTGAAAGCATAAGTTTAGTCTTAGTGGTCATTCTTTTCTGAAGTCCAAGGTTGCCACTGTACAACTTAATAATTAAAATATATTTGAAAGAAGTTGTTAAATGAGTCTTATAAGTAGCTCCTTAAAAAATAATTAATGTATAATGATTAATGCTTTTATAACTGATTCAAATTTTAATGGGTCTGTGAACAATAGAAATTGTTGTGTTTCATGATTTATATTTGAAAACATAAATTGAGTCTAAAAGTCGTCTTTCTATTCCACAATTTTATGGGTCCCACTTTACGTAAAATAGATTTGAAAGAAGTTGTAAAAAAAACCATAAGTAGCTCCTCAAAAACTTATGAATATATTTATTGGTTAATTCTTATATTACTAATTTAAATTCTGAACAAAATTGTACTACAAATTTAGTGTTGTTAATTGTTTTTGAAAGCGATAGTTCATGTATAATTTTTTGTTTCCTTTTCCAATCGTTTTCAAAAATGTTTGTTTTGTTTTTGGAAAAAAACAATTGTTTTTAAAAACAACCCACAATTTTTCAAAATGATAGTTTTTATAAAAATGAAAAAAAAATCCTTTTTATGAATGATTGTTCCATTTTCAATTTTTCATTGTTGTTTTCCTAATGAAATGATTGTTTTTCAAAAAAATTTAATTAATTAAATCTCTAACTTCAATACGCTTTAAAGATAAAAATGTTCAAAAATAAATATGGCTGTCATGACATTTTTGTCATTATTGAGTATAAAAAAAATAGAAAATTTTAAGCCAAATTTATTTTACAGCCTGGAACCCCTGAGATTGGTGAAGATTATATATTGGACTGGGACAGAATAGGATTTCGTCACATGGGTTAAAATAATTTTGTAAAAGAAATTATATAAAAAAGTAAACTTCTTGCATATTTATTAAATTAGTTGTTTTTTGTGATGCTAATCAGATGTCCAGAGGTCAGAACTTTCTTCTTTTAAAGGAACTGTTCACTTATTTATTACTTATGATAGAAATAAAAAAGTTTTTAAAAAATTTTAAATTATGACATTTACAATTAGATATTACAGATTAATTTTGTATTCAACATTTTTTTTAATCCATGACATAGACAAAAAACACCAAATAGTGGATAGACAATGGGACCATATTTTAATGCACTAAAATTCTTAACAAAAAATCATCTTTTTCTCTGGCCACAGTTGTCTTTGAAAAGTAATTCCAATACTTATCAATAGCCAATAAGCTATTAAGTTTACCTCAAAATTACTCTAATAAGGGAATGATGCTTTTAAACAATCAAAAATGATTTGTTATTTAATATTTAAAACCCGTAAAAATGATTATTAAATATAATTTCTTTGAATATTAAGTCTGAACCCTAGCCCTAGCTTGCAATGGCTGAAATATATGATTTTTTCTACGATTTGATTTTATTATTCTTACAATAGGCAGGTTATAATAATTTTTAAACATTTCCTAAAACATTTGGAAAAATTTTGATAATAAAACCTGTTTGGTGCAATTTCTTTAGTGCAAATTTCAAGTGCAAAATTTCTGAAATTTCTCTGTTTTGGCGGAAAATTTGACACCCTACTGGTACAACTCTAAAATTGAAGCTAAGCATATTTCCAATCCTTGCTGTTTCTTATTGTTTAGAGTAAATAAACAGCGACATCACATCCTTGATTCACTGCAACTGTACCCTTTAAACCTTTGACTGATCATCAAGAAGTACAAAAGAGAACTCAGTAAATATATCTATTAAATGCCTTCAGAAAATGCGGTAAAATCAAAGTGTACTCTAGCTTACAGTGGGATCTCAATACGGATGAAGATACATATTTCCTGGTAAATTATTCAAAGCTTTTTTTAAAATTAAGAATGTGAATATTTATATTCTTGTGTGTCATCCTTGATCAGTCAAAAGTGTACAAATGTGAATCAAGGTTAACCCTC